GGAACACACTGGACCACTGTAGTTTTGTGGGTCTTTTTGTGAACATCATAGTTTTCTTTTTGTTCAGTAACAGACAAGATTTAAAGAGCCAATGCTGTATTTTCTCCAGTGCTGATGCAAGGATAGATGATGCCTCCTGTGTGCTCTTAGCAGGTGTAAAAATAACAGCATTATCAGCATACATTTGAAAGTGGACTTTTTGGCAAACATTTGGAAGGTTATTTATATAAATATATATATAAATAACCTTCCGCAGCCCTGCATGTTTTACTTGTTTCTCGCTTCCAACACACCTGATTTAAATGAATAGATTATCAGGCGACTGCTGAGCTTGGAAGAGTTAATTCACTGACTGAATCAGGTGTGCTGGAGCAGGGAAAAAAGTAAAACCTGCAGGTCTGCGGACATTGAGGACCATAACTGATGACCCCTGAAAAAGCAATTTCACTTGGCCATTCAATCATTTTGCACATAAGGGTATTTTGAACATACATTATTATTCCCCCMCCTCCTTCCTAAATACATTATATCCAAGCATATTTACAACAGCATCTGGGGCCTCATGCATAAAGGATTGCGCAGCTTTCACACTAAAAGTTGGCGTACAGACAAATTTAGAAAAGTGCAMCRCACCAAAAAATTCAGATGTAYAAAAGTGTGCACACACAGGTTCCTGCGCACCTTTCCTTTATACATCCCAAAGAACGTGGAACTTAACGCACGTGAGACACCTCCTCTGRCACACCTCCWTTTAAATATGTTAAATAGATGTAAAAATGTCCAGCGTGTGAGGTTCTCCTCAGATTGCCCTCTCTGTGGGATCAGAAATGATTTTTAGATGCAGGAAAATTATACAAGAAATGGAGAATGAGTGAGAAAACTGTCTAAAGAAGTAGTGGTTAAAATGTGTTTGCCACTCACAAAGCTGTGTGTGGGTGTTGGTGTGTGCGCGTGTGCTGTTATTTTCAGCAGCGCATGAGGCTGAGAGACATTTCCACCTTTACCCGTCTTTAATAAATGACTGTAAACACAGAGAAACTTATGACTTTTGTAGAACTTTGAAAAATATTTATTAAATAGTTGATGTGAAGAAACGAGCATTTCCTACTCTTGTAAAAAACAGAACAATTAACGCACCCGTCCTCCTCCGCCTCATCTCGTAAAAAAACTGACGCGTGGGGGATACCCGGCACGTCAAAACTGGATGCAAAAGGCTACTTGACCAAGTGTCAATATATTGATGCGGGGGGAGTGAGAATGCGTTGGACTCACAGTGCTGCGAGTTTCTGCCGCGGTGTGGGACTGGGAACAGCTGACATTGATCCATATGCACAATTTTACACAGCAATAAATCTATTACGTCTTGTGGAGCTGAGGAATCATCACAGCTGAATATGCTGAGTTGACAAAGTTTTTTCTCAGTGAGAATTAAAATGTTTCTTAGAAAATTCACACATTATATTTCCCTCAGCTGTGTGTGTGCTCCGCAGGCCTGCGCACTGCATGTGTTTCCAACTACAACAATATAAAAAGTTTAGGTTTACAGACTGGACTGAGGTTCTTTGATCATTTTTAGGCTGATCTATTTTCTTGTCTGAGGTTAAATGATTTTCAGTCCCGGGGTTCAGTTTCATGATCATTCGAGTTTAAACAATAAAAACTCAAACTAAAATAAAAATCTAACACCATGTTCAGATGCTCCTTACATCCAGAAAACACAACAGAGTCATTTTTCTGTGGATTCAGGTCAGATTAATGACTTTGTGGGTTAAAACTGTCGACTGAAAAACTTTGCGTGGCTGCCGCACATTCTCACGGCAGGTAACGCAACGATGGTTTTGATATATCATAACATGGGCGTAGAACCTGGCGCATGCAACTTTTTTGTGCATATGCACCTTTTATACATGAAGCCCCATGTGAAGTATGGGTTAACCATGTCTCTGTGAGTCCTAAAGTCGATATTGGAACTGCACAGCAGATGTTCACGTCTTCATACTCCATTTGTTTAAGTGGCCGCCAAATAGTCCTTTTTGATGATGGATCCCATACTACTTTGGCCTGATTTAATGTATGGAATATTTTGGTGGTTGTGTGCTATTTGAACACTGGATTCCTGTTTTATTGGAGGCTGTTGGTTAGGACAGAAGACAGCAGTTGTTTGTGCTAGCTGAGTTGCACACTCACCAGTGCACACTCCTGTGTCTTTTCCTCCGCTTTGCTTCTTCTGCAAGTGCACAGTCACCGGCATAAYCCTGGTGGAGCTCATGGAAAGGTCCAACCCAACTGAACCAATATTACGCTCCATACGCAATGAAACAGCTACTCCATGGCCGCTCATGTCTCCATGCGCAGCACCACCAGTCAGCAACACATCTGCTCCAAACCAGGAAGAGACGCTGGCAGAAACCCGAACATCTGTGCCAGCAGGACGTCCTAAGGCCTCTGGAAGAGGCGTGTCAAACAAGCAAACCGCTTGTTCGCATCTGGCAATGACCAGATRTTTTGTGCGCCACTGCTGGTACTGTTGTGTCTTCTGCAGCATTTATGGCGCTGTTTGCTGGTGGTGTTGGGCCTGGATTAAGTTCGATACCTCCAGCCAGAAGTAGTACAATCATCAATTGAGTAGAAATCGCACTGTTGTTTGATGAAGATCTCTCGGGTGCTTTAGATGGTTCTTAGGAAGTCCATTGTTAAGAAGTTTGGCACATAGAAGGTGATGGCTCTCGATGGCTTGTGTGAATAAGCAGTTTTGATTCTCTTGCAGAAAAGAATGCTTGAGAGACAGAATTGATTGTGTGGTGATATATAATATCATTACTMAGCTCTGTAGGTTCARATGGTTGCTTAAGATATCAGGGTGGTTTTAGTAGAGAGCGCACAGCTCCTGCCAAACTGTGCATTCCACCAGCAGCCATCTTGTCTTTTCCCATGGATGGTCCCGTGTCTTGATGCACAGCTGATTGGATTCTCCTGCTCAGGGCTGGAGAAATTTTCTTTGCCTTTTTCCTATAACCCCAGGATCTTTTAGGAAGTTTAAGATGACTGTCTTACTGCATCCAACCTCAAGCAGCAACGTCACGCTGTAAGAGGCCTTGTTAAGCAGCTCAACAATCWGACCACATTCAAASAGAGAAAGCTTTTTTGCCTTTGCCGTTATGAGGTAATGTCACTATGGATACCTGACAGAAAATGACACTGAATCCACATTTTTGCAAAGATTTGGGCTTTCAAAATCTGTGGTCTTAAACTTTTGATCAGCTGAACAATCTGTTTCAGCTAAATGACTGTTTGCAATAAAATGCTTAATCGTTTATTTCTTTTGTTTGTTTCACTTCTATTTCATCTTTTTGCATCTCCAAGCTTTACTTAGAACCTTCTTAAGATCCAACAGTGCAAAATATGAATTCTTGCCATTTTCCAACTGGTCTTACAATTTTGATCAGGAGTGTAAACTCAAAGAGAATGAAGAATGTGAGTGTGGAACTCTGTCAAGATGAGTCAATAACCTTTAATAACCGCACCAGTGATTCATGGGAAATCACATAATTTACACTTCCTAAAACATCTCAAGGTTTTAAAAGTTTGGAGACAGTATGTCAACAAATGTTTAAACAGCTGAGGACAACATTGATGCATTTTATTTGACATGTTCCTGTTCTCTGCCCCTGACAGACGCTCTACCACACAGGACGGTATACAAACAATAATTTAAAACAAGACAGTAGGTTTTAGCCTAATGAACACAACATAAATTAATTACCTTTTCGGACACAGAGGCGAAGCCTTTGGTCGGGTGCGGTGTCCTCATGTCAAACACGTGGAATTTACCCTCCAGTGATGTCGCAACCAGCTTGTTCATGTTCACATCCTTCCTGTCAAACTCCACACAGCAGACCTGGTAAAAATGTAAACATCACTGTATGTGATATATATACAGCTGTACTGTGTTTAGTGTCAGCTGTTCTGGCTCCTATTTTATCTTGAATAAATTCAGGAGGAAGTGAATAAAACTACCCTCCCTGAGGCTTTATGACTGAGTGATGATGACGACGATGATGAATCTAACTCAAACTCTTCTGTAAATCACAGGTTATTTAGAAGTTGAATTATTCTCTGATGAACTGACTGGATCATGTTAGTTTGAAGAGGAAACCTGTTATTTATTTATCTGTAATTATATTAAAGTTGTCTTGGAACGTCTTATGCCTGATACTTAAATGTGCAGAAAATATTTATAGATTTCTTCTGCATCTTGAAATGGGTTGACCCAAAAAGGATAATCGGTGGTAGATGTACTACTAAAGGTTACTTTAAAATTCCTCCACACACACCTTTTACCTTACGGGTGATAATGATTGGTTTAGACACAGTTATAAAATCACAAATACCTGAATCAAACAACAGTTAACTGATAAAGTTTAGATAATAATTTGAAGTGTTAAATAATGTTTTTAAGTGGTGGTCCACAGAACTTCATCTCACCCCATTTTTAATGTTGGTTTCCCACCGCAGGGACATGTTTCTCAGATCGAACAGTTTGACGTCGCCGTTGTCGTAGCCGGCACACACACACCGGTCCTGATCGTTGAAAGCGTGACCTGAAACGTATGACACACAGAACAAATCATTAACAGCTCCACACACTCATGTTTGAACTTTTGTCCCACATGGGTGGTCAGGATCTTTCAGGTCTGTGTAGTACTGAATGACAACATTCTGATTTTACACAGGAAGAAAGAACTGAAACAACAGTAAAACTTTCTGTCCTGAGACACTCTCTTACCAAAGGCCACAGTCCAGCAGTCTCTCTTAGTTTCTCCTTCTACAGGCTCCATGTTGGCCACAGGGAAGTCCTTCTGCCGGGGGTCCCACACCTTTACTGTCCCTGCAGCGCACAGCAGAAAGTCACATCTCCTTACAAATAAAGCTTTAAAAATTAAAACTGGGGTTTTCCACTGCATATTATTTGGCTAGGGGCCAACAGGCTCCATGCCTCCCCGCCAGGTTAAGCTTTGTTTGTTTACGCAGAGTGGACGTCATTCCTGGAGCATGTGCTAGAAATAGCACTCACAATCATTGAGTAGTAAAGCTAAAAAGCTATCGTAATGACTCAGCATGCAAAAAAGCAGTCATAGTCATCTAAAAACTCTTTAGAGTTCAACAATACGTTAAAAAGGGCAACAGGAGAGGCAGCTGCAACTCGCTGGACCCACAGAAAAACACAGCTCCTCCATCACCTCTGTCCCAGTGAGGCAGCACAGCTCATCTCTCTCCACACACACAACTAGCCCCCCACTCCCCTGAACATTAACCCTTTAGGGCACATACAGTATCTTATAGCTTTACCTCCCAGAGCAGCCCATTATTTTCAGCGATTGGTAAAAAGTTTCTTTTTGTAGTTTTATTTTTTTTAAAACATTACTGAAATTTTACAAGGGTTAGAGTTCTTCTGAGGTTTTACAAAGGTAATGATTAGTATCCTAGGTCGCAGATCAATGACTGACTTTGTAGTCGTGTCATCTGATCTACAGCCACGTTTTGGACACTTGGGTGCAGGGCCAGCCCCAGACATTTGGGGGCCCTAAGCAAAATCTGTTTTGGGGGCCCTTTGGGGTAAATGATACGCAAAACTAAATGCTGTACGTAATTATAAGCCCAGTGCAGAAAATGTGACCTCTAAGAACACACTGTAGTTTACTGAATGATCTGAATGATGCTCAGTGTTGAAACGTTTATAGAGAATTAACTTTGCTTTGGCTACTACAGGATTCCAAATTTAAAGTTTAAACAAATATACATGATGCCAATTCAACAGAATAAAAAAAGGTTACAGTACGTTAAAACATTTATTCTCTGAATTATAACCGATAACAAGCCAAGTACATAAATAAAACATTGAATACACATTCAAATCTTAACATGATAAAATATTTACAAAATGTAAGGCTTAATAAATGTATTAAAACTTTAGAAAAAAATGCATTAATTTGAAAAATCATAATGAAAAATTATGAAAATACACTGTTTAAAAAACATCTAAAAATCTTGAACACCAGAATTAAAGTCCTAATTGCACCCCCATCACCTTTTTTTTTTAAAGTTCTGTTCCTTGTTCCTTGAAATGGCAGTTCTCAACAAATTGTGGGTCTACTTGATTTTTGGAAGCAAAATCAGCCAAACTGTCATAAATCTGACCCCCAACCTCATTTTAAGAATTCAAAGTCTCTGTGAACATCTGCAGGAGCTCTGCAGACTCTCTCAGCTCAGACCTGGTCAGACATGTGAGGACCATGGAGCAGGATCAGCTGGTGGCTTTCATCATCTGGTTCAAGTTTTCATTACTTCTGTACACAAAATTCAGTTTTCCAGGAAAGGCATCTTCTCACACTGGTGGGGGTTCTGGGGGTTCTCCCCCAGGAAATTTTGATTAAAATAGATGCTGTTTCCTGCATTCTGAAGTATTTTAACATTTTGCTAAACATATTAAAATAAACACTTGATTTTATAACTATTTTACTGTGAATGTTTGAATCATCCTGGTTTTAAACTCACTGCTGGCCAAGATCAGGAAATTAATGTGATAATTTATCAAACGAGTTGAGTTCCATTTGACCTTTTTTCTATTCTTGATTTAGTTTTATTTGTAACACATGACATTGTGCCATGCAGTGCTGACTTAACTACGTGTTTAAAATAAGAATATTAATATTTTACCCAATAAACAGGTGTAATTACGATAACCACCTAAATTTACTGATGGGCCTATTTATACCCAAAACTAACATGACATCATGCAACCTACAAATAAAAATACTAAAGTTCCTAAAAGATTATTAAATAAGCAGCTTTTCATAAATATCAGGTCATTATTAAGCAATTTAAACTCAAAAACCAAGTCTCTCCTTTCTTCTTCTGTTTTTCAATTTGGGAGGGGCTGCTCGCAGTGAACGTTAGTTTCATCCACCAGCTGCCGTGAAGGCAGCTGAGTCAGTACCAGCAGCATTTTTTGGGGTAAAAAAACAAAAACACAAGTGACTGTGTAGCAGCCAACAGAACTGGTCGTTCTGTGATCCTTCAGAACTCAGACAGCCAGCTCTGCACCCCGGTGATCAACAGGTCTACACCCAGCACCGCGTTCTCCTGGTGTGTTTACAGACGGCTCGGAAAAACATGTTACCACATCTTCATAGTAGATTAAACAGTTGTAAAGGTAACAAAAAGTGCGGGGCCAGAGGGTACAGATACGGAAAGTGAGGGGGACATGTCTCATGCGTCCATTACGCCCATCTCAGTGTTAACTCTATGGTCAGTTCAGTTTACCATGCTTCTGTCTCGGGGCTCCCTAGTGGCCTCGGGGCCCTAAGCAGCCGCTTAGTTCGCTTATACCTTCTGATGGTGGGGGAAGACACCAATAAGATGCCAGACAGACCTGGTAGACCCAAGCGTGTAGTGAGGGTTTGCTGGGAATGCCTGGCAGAAGAACCCGTCAGACAGATCTTCAACTCACACCTTCGGGAGAACTTCACCCACATCCCAGCTGAGGCGGGGCACATTGAGTCCGAGTGGGCCATGTTCTGCGCCTCAATTGTTGAAGCAGCTCCCTTGAGCTGTGGCCACAAGGATGTTGGTGCATCTCGCGGTGGCCAACTCTCGGTGGTGGACACCCCGGGTAAGGGAGGTTGTCAAGCTGAAGGAGGATCTGATCTGAAATGAATATAGCTCGGTCAAAACATCCCTAACCAGCCTGTAAAAAATATAGATTTTTAGTGATCTTTTTACAGGCTGTTTAGGGATGTTTTGACAAGCCATATTGTTACACATTCCTTCACATGTATGACGTTCAAAATTCATGCAGCTAGCACCTTCCTCTCTCAAGTTATGACTAAAATTAATCTTAAAGAAACATGTTGCTTCCTGCCCGACTCAACCAAGCTACTCCCCGCTGCCTCCAGCGTCCTCAAACCCCACCGTCAATCCGACCAATCACGTCTCTTGGGCCATCTCCGCCCACATCAAGACCTCTGCCAATCACAATTTGAGACTTCTCAACCCACAGGACAATATGTTCTGCAGAGACCCCTACTTGGTTGTCACCAATTCTGTTCACAACTTACATGGACAGAATTTCTCGGTGCAGCCAGGGGACGGAGGGAGTCCTGTTTGGTAGCCTCAGGATTTCATCTTTGCTGTCTGCAGATGACGTGGTTCTGTTTGCATCATCACGCCAGGATCTTCAGCTCTCACTGTACACTCTGTTGTTCACAGCTGAGTGTGAAGCGGCTGGGATGAGGATCAGCATCTCCAAATCTGAGTTCATGGTCCTCGGTCAGAAAGGGGTGGACTGCTCTCTCCGGGTTGGGGGTGAAGTTCTGCCTCAAGTGGAGGAGTTCAGGTATCTTGGGGTCTTGTTCACGTGTGAGGAAAGAATGGAGCATGAGATTGATTGACGGATTGGTGCAGCTTCTGCAGATTTGCAGACTCTGTACCGGTCTGGTGTGGTGAAGAGGGAGCTAAGCTGTAAGGTAAAGCTCTCTGTTTACCTATCAGTCTACGTTCCTAACCTCACCTATGGTCAAAAACTTTGGGGTAGTGACCGAAAGAACAAGATCGTGGATACAAGCGGTCGAAATGAGTTTTCTCCGCAGGGTAGCTGGACTCTAGGGTAAGAAGTTCAGTTATCCAGGAGAGACTCAGAATAGAGCCGTTGCTCCTCCACATCGAGAGGAGCCACTTGAGGTGGTTTGGGCATCTGGTAAGGATGCCTCCTGGACGCCTCCCTAGGGAGGTGCTTCAGGCATGTCCAACTGGGAGGAGGCCTGGGGACCCAGGACACGCTGAAGAGACTAAAGCAGGGGCCTCCAACCAGTAGCTCGTGAGCTACCAGTAGCTCCTGAGCTCGTTTGAAGTAGCTATTCAGTGCTTATGAAAAAGTAGGAGAAGCAAAATTTTATTTGTCACTGGCCAAACAAACATTAATTTAATTCCAATCAATCTATAGATGTCCCTTCCCCTTGGTTGTCAATCAAATAGTTTAGGGCTCAGTATGGTCGATCGGCAGACGACACGTGGTTGTGTAGTTGTTCTGCATTCATTTTCACACACACCTTTCATAGCCCCTTGAGACACACCAAGCCAAACTCCTGGGAAACCCCTCCTGCTGCGGTATATGTCACTACAGGGGGTTTCTTCCTGCTGGAATCCACAATGTGAAAAAAAAAAATCGGAGACCCATCGGCCAACATTGTGCACAAATCTGTTGCAGTTAAACCGTAACGTATTAGTGTGAAATACACTATAATATGAATGAATAAACTTAACAAAAAGCACATTCATGTAAATTCAGTGTTATTCGTGGTGGTTTCATGTGAATTGAAGACAATGTTTTTTTGTGCAAAACAAGCTTATTGCAATGGTTTAAGATAAAGTTTAAAATTAAATGTTGCAAAAAGTAGCTCTCGGACAATTTAATTTTGTGAAAGTAGCTCTTAAGGTAAAAAAGGTTGGAGACCCCTGGACTAGAGCCTCTTTCGTAAGTCAAATCAGTGAAATCGCCGTACAGACCGGCCTTGGATTTATTCCTCTCCGGGTCATCATAAAATCACAGGAGAAGCCGGCCAGGTCCTGCACACATGTACACATTCATAAATGAACCAGCAGTGGAGAACCAAGAGAGGCGTGGAGCAGAACTCAGCTGGGCTGAAATGGGGCGCAACGTATTTATGGTGGGAGAGACTGCTGCTGCGTTGTATCAAACAAGTGATCCTGTGGTGGTTAAACATTTTTTGAACTACACTGTGTTCCAGATTATTATGCAGAAAGTGTTTAGGAGTGATAAGGTAATAATTTTTTGGTTTGTCAGTTAAATTCATTGATGGTGATGTGTGT